TGGTTGAAGATGCCATGTCTCTGTGTAGCTCTCAAGGGAGTGAGGAAAGGTCACTTGTACTACATCTCATCTTGACCACCTTCGCTGGTGAGGAAATCCAGCTGACAATCGAACTACAAGAATTCGATAGGCTCTATGAGTTCGAGAATGCAGTGCTGGAGCAGCTCCCCTATCTTGGAGAGAGCTGCACCTTTGGTTGCGAGCTGCAATTTGTCCACAAGGACACCCATGAAGTGTTGGTTGATCCCATTTGGAACACCCTGCGCGATAACAACTGCTTCAATGCGATTGTCCGTCAGTGTTTTGTGGAAGCGGAACACAAAGGGCAGCTCAAGGGCGGGGCAAAGCCATTCGAGTCCCATGCAGCGCTACGGACAGGATACTGCCACAAGCCTTTTCGTTCCACACAGAAGTCAGGCACGTTCAGGTAGAAGCAGGAATTCGCATCGTGGGTGAGGCTGCTTGGCGGAGTTGTCAGAGACTGCAGGTGGTCCACTTACCGAGCACAGTCGTCATTGCAACACATGCCTGTGCGCCTCTCAACAGTCCTACATGGCTCCTTGAGAGCCTTTCGACATACTTGACTCCCAGTGTCTTTCACTGTCTTTCATGGCCTTTCTATGACTCTGGTGGCAAAGCTGTTCTCGACAGCTGCACAAGCTACGGATGACACCTTCAGGACGAGTTCTGCATTTTGCAGCAAGTTGCCCAACCGGGCAACCGATCCGGATATGGACAGGGTGCTTGAGCGAAGGAGGAGTGTCTGAACTTGGCACACGCATGCACAGTCGCTCAAGCATGTAGGTAAGCTATGCACTACTGGCCACTTTAGGCCCAAGCTGCATTTTGCAAAAGCCTGCGCTCGCGCTTTTCATTGTCAGTAACTTGGTCCGTGGCCACATGTTCCCACGGTCTTCGCTTTGCACCACCTTTGTTTTTTTGGGACAGCTGCAGACTCACCATCATCACCCCTCACTGCTGGCAAAGGATGGGCTCTGGCAACCTCTGCTTCGGGTTGCTCTGCTTCAGCCACATCTGGTGCCGCTTTGTGCACAACTCCCAACCTCTGCTGCTGGTGCTGCGCAATCTGCGTCGTCCCTCGACGACACAGCATGACCAGAACCTCGGCTGGAGATCCACAGGCTGGGGTTGAAGGCCAAAGATATGGGCTTAGAATTGAATCTAGTCTTGCTATTGATATAGCCAGCACGCCTCAATTCAAACCTAAGCTCCTCCTTGACAAAACCACTGTGGCTCAAACTTGGATTTTTACCTTGTCTGAACCCTGATACTTCTCTTGGAATCAGGCTAAACCTGAATGTGAGGCCCCTCGGCCACAGAAAGACATGGGACATAGCAAACCTTCCAATCTCAGCTCATGACTGATTGGATGATGAAACGCAATAGGATAAAACCGGATTTTAACCCAAAGGAAACACAATCAAATGCAAGCTACAGGGAAGTCAGACAATAACAGTCAGGTAAAAAGGCTTGAATTCAGATTAAACCCATTTGTGATCTGAAACCCAGATTGTCTTATGCCATTGCATTGTTTTTGGGTCACTGACTTCCAAAAGGTTCATGCGGGTCCTCCGGAACTTGAGTTGGCATAGCTACCCAAAAGGAAGATATTGATTGAAAGGCAGCAAAGGACAAATAGTTGGTGGTGAGACGGTTGTTCCAATTGCGAAACTTACCCCCATTCAATCAAAGGTGCAAGCGTGCATTTGGGCACAGGCCCCTAACCCGCAGCCCGTGCCTACGGGCTATGTGGCTCGAGCTGATCAAACCCTTCAGCCTTCTTAGATAGCGAACCAGCAGGATTTCCTGCACGGCCTCGGCCGAGACAAAGGCGTGGAATTTCAAGGAATTGTCGAATTGTCCATGGGATGCAATGGACGGGACGTGTTTGGGTTTTGTTTGGACAAAATTGCTCTTTAGAAGACGTTCAATGCTTTCCAGTCTTGTGGCTGCACAGTTCATGGGTTGCGCTGGTTGATAGTTTTTTGTTACTTGAACTCATGGAATCGCTAGGTTGTGTTCTTAAATTTCACAGATTCAAGTTGCCGTGTTTCAAACAATGACGGTACATATTGTTTCTTGGTGGCATTGACCGTTTGTTTGTTTTGCATTTTTTCTTTAGAAGGTGTTTGATTTTGTCATCTTACAATGCCCAATTTGTAGAATGCCAATCCACATGATCATTTTTTTGCCAAGAAGAACCGTTATTTTTTGAGGATGGCTGAGAAAGCCGCATTTGCCCGCAGGTCAATCGGGCATGCGAATACTGCCAGTCTGGCGCCTGGTTTGATCAACTAGGTGGAAACGAACCATGTGGGTCAAATCATTGGCTAGTAGATGCGAAACTTTATCTGTGGCACTGGGAGGAAACAGCATAGTATTTTTTCAAGGACAGGACACTTCCACTTGACCTGTTGCCCCAGGTTTTCCTTTTGCTGTGCCTGTCACCAGTGGATGGTCGTGTCAAGGGCTTGTTCTCGAAGTACACCAAGGCCGCGGTCGATGGTCGGGACCAAGGAATGACATGGCTAGACTCACCAGGAAAGCTTGCCGGTAGAACAGTTTGTCAGCTTGGTCAGTTTGTTCAGTGTATGTTTTTTTCTTTTTCACATCCTGTCATTGAACCCAAATCTTGTCAATTAGTTGATGCTTCAAGATCTCCACACCAAAACGTCTTCTTTATTGGTTTGTAAGGTGCCAATTTGTTTACGTCTTACTTTATTGCATACTTTATTTATTACTAACATTATTATCACTTTAAGTTACTTGATCTATTGATTTAGTCCTACATTATCAATCGATCTATTTTATCTCCCTGTGTGATTCGACTGATCCATTTCTGTTTTATTGTTTTTCTTAGGACAGATTTAGATGAAACGTGGAGCATCATGAAACTAGAACATGATTAACCCACACACGGTGTTTTTGTTGACTTACTGTAGTTCTAATTGCTACATGTGTAACCCAAAAGTGTTGTGTTTTCCTATTATCCTGTGTGGACGGTGTCATTGGATGTGAAGACGACCCTCCTTTGGGTAGAAGTGCAGGGGTGATGTCCACTGTTGTAGTGGAGTAGGACGTGGTAATCGGAGCAAACCTCACATGATGGAAATCAGCCATCGCTGGATTTGTGAAAGAACCTGCTTGGATCCCTTGGGTCTCTTGGGTCTTGGACCTCTACTCCTCGTTACTATGGGGAAAGCTTTGGAACCCTTCTTTCAGTGTTGCAAAGAGCATGTTTGGCCTTGACGCCCATGAATGATAGCAGGTTGGTGTAGTGAGTCACGCAGAAGACAGAAACAACCAGCTGCAGCCTTTGTGGCAGGTCCTTCCTGAAAAGGAGTGCACATGCAATTGCTGCATTCGAGAGCAAAGGCCCTTGTTTCATCATGGTTTGTCACCACTTTGTTGTGCTTGAAATGGCTGTAAGAGCGCACACACACACACATTGTGGTTTCTCCTTCTATTGAGTTCTCTGCGGCCGCATCATAGAAGAAACTGCACTTGTTCCAGGCGGCCTAGCGAAATCTCAGACTCAAAGAAATCGTTTTACAAGTTGCTTGGTGCTGGAGACAAAGGGATACAGTTTTTGCATTGCAAGCATGACTCTTGTTGACAACATCAAAGCTTGACTGTTGCAGGAGTTTACTAGGCCTTGCATGTCCAAAGAGCACTTCAAAACTGTTTAGTCAAGTCTCTGTGAAGCTGTTCAAGTGAGGAGTTTTGGTCCTTGTTCATTCCCAGCACAGCCTGTCTCAGCACGCATCTCAGGTGTGCGCTGGCACCTGCCAGCGACAACCAGTACGTTCAAAACAAATGCTCAGATAGCTGCACCGTGGTGAACGATCCCATCTTCCCACGTGGCTTGGTGATTTTTGAAAGGTTTTTGCGGATGTGATGTGACATGTTAATTGCAGCCCACGGCCCCATCGCATGAATTTCTACGGAAAACCGTTTTAGCTTCGTCCGCAGTTTCAGGGTGGCTATATATATATATGTATATATATATATATATTTATTGTTATGTATATACATACACGGTGATAAAGCCCTGTCAGGAGCGAGCACGATCTCAGCAAACCGTTTCTGCTTTTACCACTGTGTGCCGACAAGCGGAGGTGCGTGCCAGAGGTTTCGAACATTGAGAGATATTGAGCCTGTTTTGAAGCTGAAAGGACGACTGGAATGTGAGTGTGAATAGACCTGTTGATCTACCGGAACTATCAAAGAAGGGACCTGACATGTGCACATGAGGTTTGGCAGGAATGTGCAATAGGATGCATCAGATTTAGCTACTAGGAGCAAGGACGCTACTAGAGGCTCCTGGCCTTCCTACTAGGAGCAAGAAGCTACTAGGGGCTCCTGGCATCGCTACTAGGAACAAGGACGCTACTAGTTTCTACAAGGACATGTTCGACCTCTTGAAAATGAACCGTGCCCCTTCTGATAGGCTCCTCTTCACCGCAGCAAGCTGCTGCCAAGAATCAGGAGTGTGGCGAAATGCTGGGCACTTTGGTCAGAGGATTCTTTCAAATCCTTGTTGAGCCTAGCCATTTGGCATGTTGAGCTTGTAGCTTTTGATGTAGGACTCCCATGATCTGGAATCCATATTAGGATGTGGATCTAGGACTCCCATTAAGATCTACAAGTATCAATGTAGTAGTTGTATATTTTTTCTTGAACACTAAACAGCAGTGAACGTTGTTCTCTCTCCCTTTTCTTGACGGCAGGACGTAGAGGCACTCCTGAATGGCGGCAGCCTGCTGGATGCCCCTTGCATCTCCGTTCCGGAGGATCGCTTGGAGGAGGTGCATCATTTGGGAAGGGGCAGATTTGTTGGCTGTTGGAGCTTTTCAACTCATGGAGAGCTTGTACCCCGTCTTGGAACGTCCACCGACAGGCCATGAGTCCAGATGGAAATGGAAGAGATGCACAGCTGGAAGCCTGATGGACATTTTCAGTTTCACTCTTTGGAGGTTGGCAGAAGTCACTCAGCATGAAGACATCCAATATGGTAAGAGCCTACAGACATCCTCCATGTAGATACATGTAGATACTTGAACAGACATCCGTACGTGGCAAAGAAGCTGCTGATGCTCTCACAGCATGGTTTGCGGGAAATAAGGTGCAACCACTGGTTTCGGCTCGATTGCAAGATTGAGGTTTTAATTGGCATTCCTGAAGGAATTGATGCAAAGATCGCCCACGGATTGCGAAGATCACTGGGTGAAGTCGCCAGAAATGATGTAGACAGTGGCTCAAGACCATTTGTCATTAGGTTTTAGTTGGAATGGGCTCCCAAGCACAACCTTTGTTGCCAAAGGGCTTCAACCCCTTCGACCGCCTGGCACGAAATCCGAAGGCGCAGAGCGACTTCACATGATTCCTAGCTCAAGATGTACTATGTTTGGCCTGCCAGGTCGCCAAATACATCCAGTCAGTGTCGGATGTTGGAGAAAATCCAAAATTGCAAGAGACCTTGGAGAGTCTCAAGCCATGTGTGTCTCTTGGCCATCTACGCAGGGTTTCGAACGGTCGCTCCAGGGTCGCTTCTTTTACTTTATGCTCAGTGGCCGTTGCTTCTCTTTTTGTCACCGCTTTGCTTGAGGGAATTGGCGTGTGCCTGGCGTTGGCATCCTTTCCCACGCAAGGTGCTCCCTCCTTGAGGTTCTGTTTTGCAAGAGCTGACAATGCCGCTGGTGGTATGCATTCAAGAGTTGGCTGCCTTGGCTGCCTTGGCTGCCGGCTGCTGCCACATTATCCAAACAAGGCGTTTTGAGGTCTCAGTACTACCCCTAGCCTGAGTGTACATGCTTTTCTCTACACTTGCCTTTGGCATCTCTTTATACTGTATATATATATATACATACACATATGACATATGTATAGACAGGACACGTTTAAGCTGCAACATGGTAGTCACAATCTTGAAATTTGCGTGCTGGGTTGAACGATGACCTTGACGGCAAACGAGTGACGTCTCATCGCAAGCGCCTGGTGCCAGCAATCTTGGGCTTGTTCTGTTTGGTAGATTCGGCTATTTTTGGCTTGCAGCGGCATTGGCATCACACCGATCTGATTGCTGCTCACAGACTGGCTGCCTAGTCCTCCCTGTTGCATTTCTTCCTGCGCTGGTGTGATTTGGAATCCCGAATCTGTATATGTGCTCGTGATAAGTGGTTTCTGTTTGTATGCCTGCCACCGAACTAGGTAGGTATGTCATCCGCACATTTGAGAAAGCCGCAGCTTTGATGATGTCGCCAACTAGACGCTCTGTGAGTTGAGTGCTAGCCGGAACACAATCCAGACTGCTGGTTGCCTCATACTTCGATACCAGCTGGGATCAACATTGGCATTGACATGTTCAGCGCGTTTGTTTCCCGGAAATGTGCCAACTCCTGCTTGGACACCCAGTCAGGCGTTCGTAGAAAACACTGTTGAACCACTTCCGGTCTGCCTGCGTGGCGCATGGCGCCATGCTGCGTTGAATGCCAAACGATGCGAGCGACTTTCGCTGCAACAACTCAGGCCCGGGTGCTCCGCCCTTGCTCACACCTGGCAACTACCTTTCACTGGTTTGCCTCTCTCATCCTACAGTCTCGCGTCTCACCTCATTCCTGGCTGTTTGACAGCTTCCTGGGGCGAAGAACACAGCGTTCAGGTTTCTCTTGACACTTTTTCTTGCCCACCAAAGGCCAACTGCAATGAGCAACATTTCGGGAATTCTGGCACGTCAGCCCGCGGGAGCCGGCTGAGCAAGCAGCGGCTAGCTAAACTGGGACAACGACGTTTGGACAAACTCATCAGACACACTGGGCGGAGAAACCCGCGTCAGATGCGAAACCATGGCGGCCTCTCATGGCAGATTGGTTTGGGCTAGCTCAAGCCTGCACGGGGCTTTGTTTGTGCACACAACGTCGAACATTGGAAAGTGCGGTGATTGGAGCACGCAGCCTTACCACTCGAAGAAAGTGCCGCCCAGCAATCCACCTGCTCGCCTTCCCCGTGATGTCTTGCTCCAGCATCGATTAAACATCTAATCTAACTCCTAACAAGAAACTACTAGTAACAAGGGCATCGCTACTAGGAGCAAGGACGCTACTAGTAGCTCCTGGCATCGTTACTAGTAACCAAGGATTTTACCACAGTCGCTCACGCAGCTTTGTGTGGCCGCCTTGGCCTGTGCTCCGGATCGCTCGAGTCCTGGCCCGTCAGTTCTTCAGGGACTTGACGACTGGATCTGCCCATTCCAGTTTGCTTTGCAAACCCGCTTGGGAACGGATAGCTTCGCAGCTATCCTGCACGGGGCATCAGCGGTAGATGCACAAACTAGTGCTACTGAGGTCGCTTCGCGCCGATAACTGCCCGCACAATATGTTTTGAGAGACAGGATGGGGAATACATGGCCTATTTTTTCGGTCTGCGACATATTGCGCAGAAACCGGAGAGTTAGAAGGAAAACATGTGTGCACGGGGCGGCAAAACTACGTCGGTGATGTGGCTGTGGCATGCGGATTGGTGCGACCTTGGTGAAAAGTGCGTTTGCGTGGCTGCCCTCGTGCCAGTGAAGGAAGGGAGACATGCTGGTGTAGACGCGGTTTCTGGTGGTATGCTGTCATGGTTGCTGCAGCGGTGGCTGCAACAATAGGAAACTGGCAGGGTATTTTGCGAATTTTCCCGGTGATCGTTGGGTGCAGCGAATTCTGCACAGGTGCGCACTTGGTCGCGGTTCAGTTGGGAGGTTGCTTGAAACTTTTGGCAGATACATGCGGCGGCAACACGAACCCGTGGATGTCCTTAGTTGAATAGTTTTATACATTGTTCCTCGCGAGATGCTAGGCTGGATGCGTGTTTTCACGAAAGGTTGCCCTTCAGGGGTCACCTTGTGTTTGTGTTGAGAAGCAAGTGTGGGCTGGGCTTCTCCGGATCTAATAATTGACAGTCCAATTCAACCCCCCGTTGTGTTTCGTAATTAGTGCCCTAGGGCCCCTAGGCGTGTCTACGCTATACGTGTGTAGCACCCGTTGTTCGTAGCTCTTTGTATATATCTACGCTTCGGCATGTTTACGGCTTAATTGATTCACTTTTGGCTCAAGACGTTGACGGCCCGTGGCCCTCGAGCCCGCAGCGGTCCCGCAAAGTTGCGTCGCGGTCCCGACCCGTGGCCCTCAGGCCCGCAGATGTTCCACCAAGTTGTGCCCGGCCCGTGGGCCTCACTGAACGTGGATGGTTTTGGTTGAAAACCAATACCGCACTGCGTGCCATAGAAAAGTGTGCTCGCGGCCGCTTGCACACTTGGTACTCCAGAGAGGGTCGTACTTGGTGTTATCGACCAGGTCCAGTGTACTTCACTGCCACTTGAGGGAACATACCCCTCAAAGTGGTAGCGGAGCTTGTGTCTCCTGCTTCGCCACGGTCGAAACTGCTTCGCGCAGGCTTGTCCGACAATACGGACAGGAGACAACCAAGTAGCCCACCTGTCTGAAGAGTAGTGGTCCAGATCCTGAGGTTCGACATTCCGGACTTATGACACACAACCAGCACCAGGTGTCAAAATGACGCCTTTGATGGAGAGTCATCTTGGTTCGAGATTGAAAATTTGATCTCATACAAGGCCGGGGATCTCATACAAGATTGATTTCCGCGGAAAACCGACCATAACAGACCAGACAGTTCACGGCATGACAACACATCATATACCAAGATGTGCGGGCCTTTTGAGCTCAGTGTACAACGGTCCGCATGGTGGCGGAGCCGTGATCCCCACCTAACAGTTTGGGGGGGCTCCAGGACCGAGGAGACAGGACCCTATCTCGCTAGCTCGCGCCCCAGGGTCTTCGGCGAGCGCCTAGCCACCATAAACTGGTGTAGCGTGGTCTCGCAATCACAGCAAGCGGTTACTTGAAGGAAATCCTTGTTGGACCTGGCTTTGGACTATTTCACCGGTGGCCACTCCCTGAATTCGAAAAGGTTCTAAGGCCCTTGGCCCTACAAGTTCGAGATTCAAAATGGATGGATCAAGTGTTGATGTTACAGGGATGGCGACTGCAGAACTGGCTCAGGCCCTTATTGCAACAGGTCAGGCAAGAGTTCATCGCAGGGCAAGAAGGACGTGTCCAGGTTGCTGCCACGACCTTCCATCTTCCACGCTGAAGATCGAGAGAAAGAGATTTTGCAGTGGAGAGACTGGGATTGGAGTCTTCGACAAAATTTGGTTGTGGTGGACGGCAATTTCCAAGAGGAGTTGACCAAGCTGGACAGTAAAGAGCAGGAACGTTCGAGATTCTTGTACTCATTGCTGGGCAGTTTGATTCAGGGGAGGCTCCTTGGCATCATCAAGAACGTGGACAACTAGTAATGGCCATGAAGCACTTTGACAACTCCTGATCAATTGTCAGCCTCAAACCAGGAATCGAACCCCCCTGCAAGGCATAGTGGCCTATCCACAGTTCAACATGAATCTGTGCATCCTTCCACAAGTGCTCAAGCTTGAAGGACACTCAACCAATACGAGAGGTTTGGAGATATGAAGGCCGCAGTACTTTTGAAGTCGATTGGGTGGTCCTTTGAAAACACATTTCAACTTGACATTCAATGAGAAGATCCGAGAGATTGCATTGGCCTACGACACTGCCAACACCAGATCAAGTGCAACAGAAAGGGAAGGACAAAGGAAAAGGGCAAGGGAAAAAACTTCGTAAACAGAATTCTGGAGGCAAGTCAGAGCAGAAGGGAAAGAGCGGCAAAGACTCTAAAAGAAAGGGCAAAGGAAATTCAGAGGTGTGCTGGACGTGCGATCGACCTGGGCATATTTCTAAGGGTTGCTGGAGGGTTCGTCAAGTTGAAGCTCCAGGAACTCAGACGACTGCACCTTCTAGCCAGGCCTCGGTTTCACAGGTCACGAGCACAAGTGACATGAATTCAACTACAGCCTCGAAGGCGATTCGAAGAGTTTCACAGCCGAACTTCGGGTCAGTGCGAGTGGTGCAAGAGCAGAAGGCCCACCGTGTGGAGTTCCATGACATCTTCACGGATGATAAAGGTGGGCAGGTGGTACAGTCCATCAATGCCATCCGGGGTCATGGACATGAAACTGAAGTTTTTTTCCGCGTGAGGTCCAAGTCGAGCTCGCTGCGGACTGTGTTTATACTGGCCAGTCTCCAGATGTCCTTTAGGGGGGGTAAAAATCCAGACCGTTTTGGGGAATTTGATGCTTAGTGTGGGGGGAGCCGGCTGGCTGTGGGGTTGCGGGGGGGTGCTTCGGCAAGAAGTTGGCTGTTCGGTGTTCGTATGATTGGCGAGGCTTTGTGAAGTTTCGATCAAGGATGCCGCAAAGGCTTGCTGGGCAGCATGTGTCAAGAGTGCTGACCACCTGGCTATCAATGCTGTTGTGCCAGAGTGTTGGAGGAGTGCCGGGGCTTGGCGTGCTTTGTGCTGCGCCAAGAGCGAATGTCGCTGAGGAGTTGGCCATCATTGTTGATTCGGGAGCAGATGCATCATTG